GCTGTGATGTCTCCCTGTGTATTTAAGAGGGTCAATCTGGCTTTTCCTATGTTAACTACTCGAGAGAGAGAGAGCGTTGCTTGTATCTGTCAGTGGGTAATAGCTCCTGGTGTAATCGCTTACATGCCTATTTCACATATCAACTCATTGCTTTCCTGTGTCAATGAACTACTTCCTTGTTGTTCCAATCAGTGTACTGTATCTCTTCTATATGCAAGTATAAGGTTTTTAGTCTTTGGGATTAGTTCAGGAGCTTTCTTACTGCAGTTCAGATATCTTGGAAGTGCTGGTGGATACCTCTGCTTTGGATACTTCATAGGTGCTTCATTTTTGAAGCAGTATAATTTTTATTTTTTTTGAGGAACATTACTTCAACTTAAAGGTAAAATAAGAAACGGGGGGGGGCCCACACCTACCCCAAGCAGTGTGTTCACCCTGAAAAGGTAGACGTTCCAGAGACTGGGTCCCACTAGGGACTTTCCTGTTGATTTTTCCATGGAATGCATTCAGATATATGGCAATGGGGTAGCGCAGTATAAAACCCTTAGACATGAGTGAGATTTCTCACTTACTGTTTTCCAGGTGGACAATGCCTACTGGCTGTGGACCTTCCAGGGTCGTCTCCTCCAGAAAAACAATAAAGACCGGTTCTGCCAGCTACTGTGGAGACCCCGACCTCCAACCCTGCTCAGCCAGGATCAGATAAAGGTGTTGTATCTCAGTTTAACTCTTCTGGTGTGGGCATTGGTGTAGAGAATTCAAGAGTGGTCTAGTCACAAGGGTGTGGCTTAAACTGGGGAATGGAAAACTGCTATAGAGTTTTCTCTCTGCTTAGTGGTAAGGCAATGTGAGAGCTATTCACAAATTCACTGGGGGAATCTGTATGTTGAAATGGTTCTGTGTATGTAACAGTACTCAATTTGAGTTGTCACTATTCCTATTACAAACTTGTTTTTGTGTGGGGAGTAGGGGGGAGAACATTCTGAGGCAACTAGAAGGAAAAGTATTAGGAGCAGAGAGGACTGTTGAAAACTTGGATAAGAAGCAGACTTTGGCTATCCAAACTCCAGTGGTTGCCCAGGTACAGAAAAACTGAAGGTATCTATAGGCCTAAGCAAAGAAGAGAAACTATAAATGATATAGGAGAGGGCTTTTTTTTATAGACAAGGAAACTTGCAAAAATGCTGGGTATGCCAAGGCATGCCTGAAGTAGCACTGTCTTCTACATTATGGTGGTCTCTAGTACTGGTTGACATAAGTTCTCTCTTGCAGCAAATTAAGAAGGACCTGAAGAGGTACTCCAAGATTTTTGAACAGAAGGATCGTCTAAGCCAAACCAAAGCCTCAAAGGTAAGACGCTTCTGGGACACAATGAATCAATGAAAGGCAGCTGATGCACTTGTAGTCCATACTAATCTAATGTGTCTTTGTCGCATTTCACTGACTGGGCCATATAGTTTTGAGTCTGCTGCTGCCTCCAATTTAATAGACATTTATCCCTTATTTCAAGTAGGAGAGGCCATTGTGTTTTAGGTCCAGGTTTTCCAGATTCAGTCCCCACATGACCCAGCCAGGAACATTATGAACTCAAGCACAAGCATATGTGTAGGGAAGGCAGTAAGGCAAAATCTGCTGGTTCTTCACTTGAAGAAACTGAAGCATGGTGTTACTGGGATATGTTGGAGGCAGAATCGAGAAGAATTTTTGTTGAGTTAAGTAAAGATACTTAAGTAATCTTGGCTGGGACTTGTGGGTTCCTGGTGGCTGCCTGTTAGCCAGTTTTAGTATAAAATTTTCACAGAAACCATAAACCCATCTTGCCACGCTGGAGAAAGGTGTCTTAAATGCTGATGATTATCTGTCACTAGCTGCATCCATAAGCAGAAAACCCCTAGATCACTTCCAAATGCATCCCACAAGGACACACTTTACTGATGGGCTTATTAACCTCTTGTTTTGCTTCTGTAGGAGCTCGTAGAAAGAAGACGTACAATGATGGAGGAGTTCAAGAAATACCGCAAGATGGCACAAGAATTATATTTGGAACAGAAGAATGAGCGTCTAGAGCTGCGAGGAGGTAAACCAGCCACTGGCAGCATCGTAAAGATGTGGCTTTATCAGTAAAAATTTTTTAAAGCACCAAATAAACATCACTCAGGCTATAGAAGCAGTCTTTTGTAGTGGATCAGTGTTTGGGAGTCGAAGACCTCCTCTTTGTGGTGGGTTGGGGTCCCTTTTTAACATTCCCCCTCCTGCCAAAAATAATCCCTCGACCCATGCCTTAGCAGGTTTGCTCACTCCTCAGCTATTCTCTTTCCCATCCTTTGTTTTTTCCATCTGCTATCTTGAGGTGGTGAGTAGGGAGGAAGGCTACTGTTGCTGCCCAGTGTGGTCAGTACTGATGGTTTTGCACATAACGTGCTGGAGGCCAGTGATGATATTAAAATGCCTTATTTTAAAGGTGCTTCTCTGCTATGTATTTTCCTTTTTAGCAAATACATTAGGCATTTTTGCCTTCTTGGTGGAGGTATTCAGGACTAATGCCTCTTCTTTTCCTCCAGGAGTGGACACAGATGAGCTGGACAGCAATGTAGATGACTGGGAAGAGGAGACTGTTGAGTTTTTTATCAATGAAGAAATTATTACCATTGCAGAACCAGAGTAGTCCAATAAAACTGTGGTAAGACAGATTGCCTTTCAGTTGAGAAATACCTTTCCTATCAGCTGTTGCAGCGTACCTCCAACCTGCGTAAAAGCACTTTCTGGGAAAGCTTAAGGCTTATAGAGTGCAAAAATGAATGTTTCTATACCTTTGACTTAGCTTTTGTACTTCGCTCTCAGTTGAAAGGTTCTGAATGGCCAATTGTAGTGCCAGTGGCCAGAAATGATAAAGGCTTTCTTTCTTCAAAGTGAATGGTTAGGTCAGTTTGTAAATCTACTGGCACTTTGCAGAGTGCTATGTCCTTCTCTTTTTGATCCTTTCAAAGACTGAGAATCTGAGCCAACATGATGCGTTGCAGGCACTTGATGAAAGTGCCTATGCAGTATGAGAAACGTTTATAATTATGCTAGTGGAGAGGTAAATTTTGTGTTCTGGTTATTGGAACCATATAACCTTGAATTGGTGTAAATTAATGTTCTGATGCACTATGTAAGAAGGTTTAATTACTGAACAAATTTGTTGCATACTCTTAAGTTAGGTATTGCTCTTGAAATGACAAAAGTCCTCATGCATTCTGCTACCTCTTCCTAAAAATGCCACTGAGATTTCAACATGTAACAAACACTTGTATTTAGTGTTACTGAAAGTGCTTATTCATATTAAGCATTTATTTGAAGCCTGTTTTAATCCAGAAGGCTGCTTACCTTGCTGCATACTCCAATATATCCCCCAAATATTGGCAATAGGTGTTGCAGATCTAGTGGAGCTTTCCTTCTTGGATACTTGCCAGACTGTTGTGAAGGAGATGCAAACCCTGAATCCCACTGTAGGCCTCCGGAGTCTGAACAGAGCACTTGTCTGGCTTGGTGTGTCTAGGCACACTGTTAGGATGCAGTTCCTCTTTCTAGCACCCCTTCCTGAGACCCTATCCTCTGGGACCAGTGCTGACCACTCAGGCTCACTTGTACCTTAAACACACCTCTCCCAGAATTCCAGCTACAGTGGGTGCTGTAGTTCCAAGTTAACTCTTCAGGGAAACATGAGGTGTAGCACAAAACACACAGATTTGCATGCAATTCTAAAGACACCATGGCTTTTTACTTCAGCCCTGAAATGGTCTCGTTTTGTATATGAGGTATATTATTAAAAATAGTATGTCTCATACTACATAAATATAAATCAAATACCAAAAATATTCAAATAATATTGTTGACATGAATGCAGCCCCGCACCCAGCAGCCCCATCAGTGTAAGGAATGAATACTAAAACCCCCTCACCCATCCAAAAATGCACAAATGTCACTTAAACCCTCTAAATATGTTTTTAGTTCCAGTGGCCAAGTATGTTCTCTTGCCAGTATTTGGGGGATGTGGAAGAGTGGAGGTAAGAAAGGGGGAAAAGCAGTCTTCTGGATTAAATAGGCTTCAGCTAATGAGTTACTGGGGAAGCACAACAGTAAAGGGTAAGTGGAATGCAGTTATAGAACTGCCTTTCCCTTGCTAGCAGCTGTGAGAGTTCTGAGTTTTTTGTGTGAGGCACAGTACTGACTCTTTCCTTTTTTGTCCCCTTCTCTGCAGCACCGCCATATCTTGTACTGAAAAAGGGTTCATTTATTTTCAGAAAGCCTACACCATCTTCGGAATTTTTAATCCATATTCTCTCACTCTGGACGGTGAATGCACCAGGTTCTCTCCATTCTGACATATTGTAGTGCCTTTAAACCTCACTGTCAGCAGTGGGGCTATTTGAAAGGCACTGCTTTTAAATTTTTATTCATTTGGGAGGGGGTTGTCTTTCTTTTTAAATCCACCACCAGTATTTGCTGTCTGACTCCTGTGCATTGCTTACCAGTTGGCAATTTTGAACAGTTGCCAGTAGGTGAGCATTATCCGTGCACCTTCCAGTGTCTTGCACGCTCACCATGCTTCTCTTTGCAGAGGACTCTTTTTATGTCCCGGGTGCATGGACAGGTGTTTGTTTTGTATGGGGAAAGATCAGCAGGAAAACCATTTTTCATATGATGTATGTTAGTGTGCTGAAGCAGCACTACAGTGGGCTGTACCCTCCTCCATTCAGATTGTGACAGGATTCAACAGGTTGAACGTGGAAATAAAAGCAGACCTATACTAAAAACAGGCCGTCCGTGTGTTCTGTAGAAATCTTCCCTTGAATGACCAGAGTTGATCATTATCTGAATATGAATCTGTCAGGGTTCAGAATTTGCAACTGCATTTGGTTTTTTGTTTCCCAGTTCCTTCATGGCTGCACTGATCTTTATTTAGTCCATGGTGTTAGGTGGCAGACCGGCTTACATGTTTTTAATAACTATAGTGCAATGATTTGAAGATCAGTGTGTGAATTTCTGAGACCTACTTACAAGGTGTAACTATTGGCAACAGCAGGATTATGGGAGATTTCCTGGGTTTTATTTGCAAGCTTCGGTTGAAAATCTATTCAGAGGAACACACTCTTCATGTGTGCCTTCGGATATACAAGGAAGCCTATATTCTGATGTCTGGAGCCCTGTGCCTTGTGGTGAAGAAAGTACAGAATACTTAAGTTCTGGATCAACTCCTCTTGAGCAGACTTCCATGCAGCAGCAGCAAAACCAAATCAACCTTAAGAATCTAGTTCTTAGCAGATAAGAGCTCTTAAATGAGCATGTTTTATGGTGAAAATACAAGTCAATACTGTCTGTCTTGTACCATCAACTTTTCATCCTTCAGAAAAATAAACAATTAATATTTATCATGGGTGACGTAAACAGAATTCCAGATACCCACACTGAATGTAGATAATTAAATTTTTTTAGATAATCCATAATCAAGTTTATCCCTTAATCTTTTTAAATCTTTCAGAAGTGATTCTGCAAGGTTATAACATGTTGAAGGAATACTGTAACTTTTTAAATAAGGGAAGTAGTTTTAATATCACTTCAGTAGTGAGAAACTGTCTTGTGTAAGTCCAAAGATTTTGTTCAGGGTTGGCATACAGGATTTATTATGGGACTGAAGTAATTCCTGTAGTGGGGGTGATTTGTCCTCTACCCATCACCAGTCTCAGAACTCAGCTTGTGAAGCGCATTACTGCGAAATGTCAAACTGTCTGCCATTTTGACAGCTAGATAAGTGTTAGTCAGGTATATGTTCTGACTATTTCTGAAGAGGGAAATATTCTCCCCTAACATGTTGTTGTGATCTGAATTTCTGTTTAATTGTTGGGGGTTTGAAGAATAAGTTTAGTCTTGTCCAATATGTCTTCTAGTTTTACCTTTTGGTACAGGATACTCTATACTTTTTGGCAACAATGAGCAGTGAAACTACTAGAGACAGATCTGCTGGACACATGTTAGGATATAGTAACCTAAAGCAGCATTTACCTGGGAGAGAGAGAGAGAGAGACTCCCTGAGGATGTCACGTGGGCTGCAACTGTGTGCTGATTAGGCAGCAAGCTGTCTGAAGGCCAAGGGTTGAGAACCACTGCACTAGACTAATGCAAATAATATCAAGTGTCCGTTTTGTACCTTGCAATCACAAGCCAAGAAATCTGTCTATTGTATTTCCTTTCCGGTTTTAAGTAGATTTATTATGCTTTACTCCTTCTCCCTCTCAGAGCACACAACTGATGCATGAAGTGAGACCTTTATATACTACAGTTTGTATAAGTTGTACAGAACCTTGGGCTCCTTCAGGATGAAAGATATTAACATCTTATCTCTCCAGGTCACCAGTGAACAAGGAGTATTTTTTAAATATTTATGACTTAATAAAGTCTGTTACTTTATGCTCATGTTGTATGAGGCACTTTGGAAGTCCAGTCAGTATTCCTTTCAACAAATAATTAGTTGGGTTTTTTAACTTCAGTATTGACTGCTGCCACTAGTGACTCATGCTGCTGCTCTAGATGAGTTTATTTTTTTGTAGCTCTTACCTTTAAGTGTTTTTATTATACTACACAGGTTGCAATCTCTTTGCCTGCCACTGACATGCAGCTGTTCAACAATATGGTAGAGCAACATTACTCAACACTTGACTATAGGAAAATTCTAAGCATTTTATCTGGAACAGTGCTGCTAACACTTTTTTATGAAAAAGTCATGGATTCTTTAATCATTTAAAAAGAGAGAGGCTATGAATATTTGCAGTGTTTCTATCTAAAGGGGAAACATCTACATTCCTATAGTTCCTGCCTCTCCTTCAAGAGTGTCATGGTCCAGTGTGCTTAGTGTGTGATAAATCCCCACTATTTTCCATCTGACAGGGCACTAGACACCGATAGGAGTTGCACTGGGAAGAAGAGGTTTTAGCCTTTTTTTTTTAAAAATCTCCTATCCTGAAATCTCCCCTTATCTAGTAGTTGCTCTACCCCGTTTTGTGTTTTAAAGTGTGTATGCCTCAATTACTTAATGTTATTTTTTTCTGACTTCTCAATAACCTCTAATCCCACCACTGTTAAAATAAGACAAACAGCTCAGGGCCCATTATATTAAAAATTAGCCTTTTTTTTAAGATTTTAAAAACTGTTTTTCTCCTGAAGTGTGTTTTTTTTCTTTCATTAACAATCCCTTTTCCTTCTCCCTGCTGTGAATGGAAGTAGATGGACCCAGTTTTGTTTCTTATTTAACTAACCTCAGTGGTTGTCTCTTACCCCTAGGCCCTCTAACTTCTAAATTAAAGCTCTAGTGTTTCATCCAGTTAAGTCTTGCTTAGTATATAATTCTCTATGCTAATAAACCCCAGTAATTAAAATAGAACACACCTTCCTTGTTTTTCACTTTGCAGCAAACTGGAGGGAGGGAAATCCAAGAGCTGCAAGGCCTACCCCTCTCACTTGCCAATATTAAGCGTTCTACTTCGGACTAGGAAAAAGGACAATAGCCTCTTAAACTCAAATATTTCACTAAGGGGCTGTACCTCAAACATCTATCACTGCTACAACTGAGGGGTTGGTGTTTAAGGGGAGAGGGGGCAAAATGTCCATAGGGAAACAGGCATCTTCAACCATGCTGTCCCTGACTCCTGCTGAACGAGACACCTGCAGCTAGCGATTGGGTTTATTTTTCCCTGCACCTTGAATAATTCCCAGGGGCCAGCAGGGCTCCTGGTGTTCCGGCCCCCTGAACCTTGTTCTTCCCGAGCTGCAGTGCCAGGAGGAGCTGGGGCAGCAGCGGAGTCTGCTATGCCCCGGCTCGGATGGGCTGGGGGCAGAGGAGGTGCCCTGCCTTGACGGTGCGTCAGAAGGCGAGTAGCGCTGCGCTCTGTGCTGCTGGGGCGCCAGCGCCAGGCTCAGCCCGGGTGTAACTGCGCTAAAAGCAGGCCGCGCTGAGCAGGTGAGACCCCCTACAGCCCAGAGGCGCTTTAGCCTGCGGGCAGAGGGCGTGTGGGCCGCACCCACGTGCTGGGCATCTTTGGGCCGGTTCCGTACCCGGCCTCAGCAGGGGATGGCACTGTTGGGGCATGCGGGAGTCGTGCCGAAACCCTGCATCCTCCACCGCCCGGAGCACCGCAGGGCGGGGCGCGGCAGCGAGCGCTTCTGTCCCGCCCGGTGGCTCCCTAGGGCTGGTGCAGCTCGGAGCTGCTCGCCGCCGCCTCGTGCTGCTACAGCCGCGCGCTGATGTCACCTGCCGCCCGGGGGTCGCAGGTCTCCCCGGGGCTGCGGCTGCGAACCGCTCTCCCTGTATCCTACAGCCCAATGGCTTCCCCCTTGGGCAGCCCTCTCAGCGCGGGGCAGAGGCGGACCGGAGGCCTGGCTCCGAGCCCCAGCTCGGCCATGAAGGATCCGAGCGTGGAGCAGCAGCTCACGGTGAGTCCGGCTGCCCCGGGGCAGTCAGGCACCCGGCCTTCCAGTCTACTCTGCAATCCCCGGCTGCATCCGCACACCCCTTCTGCGAGCCCCGTGCAGCTCCGCTCCAGCCCCGGTGCCTGTAAACAAACCCTCCGAGGGCTGAAGGCACTGGACTGGACAAAGAAAACACCCTGCAGGGGACAGACCTGTAGCGGTAGAGGGTGGGACAGGATACGCTAGCAGGTTTGCTCCATGTTTCCTTCTGGAACTCCTGGGATAAGACTTTTCCAAGGTAACTGAGCGTGTGAGCTTTTCCATCTGAATTGAAATTGTCTGTTGTAGAAAGCAGGTAGGTTGCACTCATCAGAGTCCCAGGATTTTGACATGTCTCTGTGTGGATCATGGGAATTTGCTGTTTTTTCAGTAATGATTGTGCAGAGACAGTTCTTTAATTAATCCTGCTCCCAAATTTCTGGTGTGTGTGTGTGTGTGTGTGTGTGTGTGTGTGTGTGTGTGTGTGTGTGTGTGTGTGTGTGTGTGTGTGTGTGTGTGTAGTTATTAATTAATAACTACTCTCTACTCCTACTAGTTACTTTA